CAGAAAGCGAGAAATCACCCCCCAGGAGGGATGGCCACACCGCAATCCCTTTTCCTCCATTTTCCTCTTGGGATCTTGGGCACACACGCACACGCGCCCGGCGTGAGTTTTAAGCCACCGGGTCCAGGGCGCGAACCGCGGTCGACTACATGGGAGTCCAGCGACATAGCCATTACGCTAACTGCTGGTCCCCTCCCTGCAATCTTGTTTCTCGGCTCCTGGCTCCTCTGGGAGCCAGCATCGGCCTGAAATGCACGTGGACCTAGGCCAACACCCTCGGGAGCTCCAGCCCTCCGTCCTCCCTGGTGGAAGGACAGAGAAGAGGTGTCACAATTTTATTTCATTTTTTTTCAATTGGCCCCACGGGATCGAGCCACATGCCACTGAGTGGCCCCAGGTGCAGGTGGTAACATATTACCCTGAGTACTGGAAGCCACATGGCCAACCGTGGCTTCAGATCCTGAATTGACCTGGAACATTCTGGGCACGCATGTGCCTGAGACCCACTGGCTGAAGGGCATGGGAAGGCGGCTACAGTGCATGCAGCAGTGCTGAGGGTGCCTGTCTCTCTCTCGTGAGAGAAACAGACTTTAAAAGGAGAGAGCAAGGATGGAACTAAATTGGTGACTCTGACATTTTGAGAGTTGTGGAACGGAGTCTTCCGTGAAAGGCCCAGGCACCTTCCCAAGAAAAATGCTCCGACGAAGGCTCATGCATGCACTTTCAGAGGGTTCAGGGCCCTCCAAGCAAGCCCATGAGAGAACTGCAACCCACAAATGGCAGGAGCATTGACTGCTCATTTCCCAGGCTGGGGCTGTGAGCGCGGTGGCCTGGAGAGCACCTCGCAAAGCCTGCTGGGAAGAAGGGCCCAGCCTAGAGGCATCTAGGGCCCACCCCCGATGGACTGGCCCCTGGTGTGCGGCGGGGCTGAGCGCCATAGTGGGGTCTGCTGAGTTAGCCTCTCAGCCTCCGAACAAGCTGAAGTTTTACAGGACAGCACCCCCAAGCTGCCCCTCGCCCCAGAGTGGAGGCCGAGCTGCAGCTTGTGTCCCCTGTGCCCACCTCTTCGTGTCCTACGCCCGGTCAGCCCCCTGGGTCTCTGCAGGCCAGCGGGGAACCAGGCTGGCAGAGCGGAGGGTCAGCGCAGACACAGCGCAATGCAGGCTTGTTTCCAGCCTGCTCTGGAGGCCCAGCTGACAGCGTGGGGTTACCTCCTGTACCGTGCAGCCCTTTGTGGAGGCCAGACCTGAGGAGCTGCCCTGGAGGGCCAGACAGAAAGCAGAGCCTCCTGCTGTCTGGCTCCCTAGCCCGAGCCTGCTGGAGCCCTCTGTGAGCGGAGCTGCAGAGCCAGGCTCCCCAAGAGCGAGAGCAGAGGTGGCAGCGTGTGGCGCCCCACACCGGACAGCCTCAGAGCCGGGGCTGCTTCCTGTCCCCAGCCCGAGTTGGCAGGGAGTGAGGCTGACATCCTGTGGGCGAGGCGGGAGGACGGCCAGGGCACAGCTGCCTTCTCTCTCCTGGAGCCCTAACCAGGGCCAGATGGCCCTCAGGAAGGTGCATGACTTGCTTCGGAAGAAAATACTCAAGATCCTTAAACTAGAACAATTCTTCTATTCAAAAACTGCTGGTGTGGGAATGCTCCCCCAACGCACCCCACCCCCCGTTCCCCACAGGGCAGAAATCCATCCTCGGGCAGCGCAGAGCCCCCGTAGGAGGAAGCCCACTGCCAGGTCACGGCCCATGGTGGGGACAGCCTCGGGAGAGGCGGGGAAGAGCACTGGGCAATGCGGGGGCGGATGGAGCAAGGCCTCCCGCCCGCTGAGGTCCGGTAGTGTGCGCGGAGCCGTGCTGCCCCCTGCTGGCCGCGACGCTATCTGCCCCTTCAAGTTCAGGCCTGCGAGCCCTGGTGGTCTGCGGACTTACAACTCCGGGGCCCTCTACTTGGGAATCTCCTCCGTGGGGACCTGCCGAATATCCGCACAGGGCTCTTCCACTTCACGATCCGCTCTTCTCGGACACAACCTGGAACCCATCCCTGAAGAGAGCCCCGCTGAGACGGCAAACGTGCCCTTGCTCTGCAGGCCGGCCTGCGGGAAGTGGGTGCAGAGCAGGTCAGGGGACCCGGCTTCCTCCCACCTGGGACAGGAAGGTGCGTGGCCTGGCCAGGGTGCTCCTGACAGGGTGCGTCCCGTGCTCTCTGGCCCCGGGCTCAGCCGTCGTGTCTCTCCCAGTATCCGGGGTTGCTCAGATCAGCCAGGTGCCTTCGGAGGAGTGCGGCTGTGGGTCACACACGCCTGTGAAGGTGAGCTCCTTGGAGCGAGGAGCTTGTGGCCCAGAGCTCTTGTGTGCTCCCAGCAAGGAGGATTGTCCTTTCGACACTCCCGTCAGATACATCTCCAGGGCCTTGAGCAGTTTCCGTGGGTTCTTCTTGGCCAACACTTCCAAATCTGGAACAGAGTGGATTGGGGAAAAGGTATGTGGGGCTTGGGAAGCTAGGGCACCCAGCCTCACAGCTCCGGAAGCACCCCCAGTCCCTGTCCCCTGGAGAGACAGGCAAGAGCCTCCCCAGGTGGAGAGATGCCAGAGAGGGGTGTGGAGGGGCCAGAACGGCAGGGACCACAGCACCGCCTTGTCCAGGACAGTCTCCACCCTGAAGTCAGCCTGACTGCTGGACCCCAGCTTCCAATTTTTGATTGGGAAAATGTGATCGTCACGGAGGAGGGAAGGAAGGGAGGGGAGACCCGAGAGCTAAAAGGCTCCAGAGAGCGGACTGCCAGAGACTCTGGAGGGAGGGTAGACCCGAGAGCTAGCAGGCTCCAGAGAGCGGACTGCCAGAGACTCTGGTCTGTTGGGGCTTGAAAAAGTGTCCCCAGGAGTCTGGGGAGGGAACTGCAGCCCCAGTCTACCGACGTCCTGGGGCCTCTCACCATGGGACCCTGAGCGTTCAGAAGCCTGGGCCTCCCCAGAAGCCAGAGCACACCTTTGAGCACGAAGCCTGAGTCCGAGATGGTCTTCTGCTGGGTCTTCCAGATGTGCGCCAGGCGGAGGAAAGTGGCGGCGTAGAAGCTGTTCACCACCGGGATGACCTTCTGCTGCCGGTTACACTCCCTACGGACAAGCGGTGGACCGGCTCAGCAGTGTACGAAGGCTGACACTGAGGTGCCCTTACTCCCCCAGGGGAACTGGCCCAAACGAGGATTCCCCCATTCCCCAGGCAGCCTCCCACTTGAGGTTGGGCTGGGGAGACCGGTGCCTGGGAACGGGGTCCCAGCCCTCCAGGGTCAGAGGTGAGGTACAGACTTGGGAGGAGGAGGCAGCAGCAGGGATGACCAGGCTCTGCTGGGCCACCTGGCCAGCTGGTGGCAGGGGACTCACTTGGAGAGACACTCCTCCCTCAGGGCCTGGATGGCGATGCGGGTGATGTTCACGGACATCAGACAGAAGGGGAATTGCTGGAACGGAGTGGGGCAGGGTCAGGCAACCCCAGCTGTCCCCTGTGTTCTCTGTCACTGACCACAAGCGGGCCCCACAGGCGATCGCAGCCCCGTCCCGGGGGCAGAAGCCAATGTGGCTGCTGTTTACACTGAGTTTTCCCCATAGCCTTCCCATCTCACAGGGGAGGAAACTGAGGCCCAGGGACATGGAGTAACTTTCCCAAGGCATGGGAACCAGAATCCAGACTGAGGACACTTGCTCCAAAGCTGGCACGCACGACCCCAGCTGGTTTTCCCGTCTCTCCGATCCCCAATCCACTAGCTCTCCTTGGCTTTCAGAGCCCACCCCCATGCTGCCCCTGGACCACAGTCCCCCTGGGAGTTAGGCTGACCACAGGGAAGTGAGGTTCAGTTCTCTAACTGCACAGGTTCCTAAATCTCCTCTTTCCTCTCTAGATCTCTGGCTCTCCAGCCGCTATGGGCACCTTATCCCTAAGCAGCCAGGCAGCAGGGATGGCGTCGGCGCTGGCTTGCTGGCACAGTGGGCTCTCACACAGAGGCCTGAGAGCCGGGTGTGCAGGGGTGTGGCAGCTCAGCCTCACAGGACAGCCTCAGAACCCTCCAAGTCCGCCCCTGTGCTGTCCCGCACTTGTCCATGTGCCTTCCCAGTCTTTAATAGAACTCAGAAGCATGGTTTCTAAACGGAAAGGGGCTGTGTCCAGGGAACTGCAGACACGGCCCGTTCTTTCCCCACTGCACGTACGAGGACGTCTACTAAGACAGCTGCGCAGACCAGCGCGTCCGCAGTGCAGGACGCGAGCCAGAGTCCAGGTAGCCCCCGTCGCCCAGGAGAAGAAAAGTCCATTGCTGGGGCCGGCAGGTGGTGCCGGACTCCCACATGGCCAACCGTGGTTCGGGTCCAGGACCTGGTGGCTTGCTTTCTCACTCTCCCCCTTCTCTTGCTCTCTCTGTTCCTCTCTGGTCAAATTGAGATAAATAATAAATAAGGTGCAATAAAATAATAGTAAAATAATTCTTTAAAAAAAAAAAGAAAGAAAGAAAAGCCCATCACCGTGACGTGGAACTGTGCTGTCCAGCACAGCAGCCTCGGGCTACGTGCGGCTGTGTAAGTGGAAGTGAGCTAGGCCCAGATGCGGTGGCACTGTGGCAATGCTGGCACCGATGGGGCTCGAAGTCATATGGCCACCAAGAGTCAGATCCCGGTGGTTCTGAAAAACATGCTGGGTGCACACACAGCACCCAGGATCCTGAGGAGCTGGAGGGCTGGGGGAGGGGATTACAGCATGACGAGACCCAGCTGAGGGTGCTTTGTTCTCTCTCTCATGCCCCCATGGGGCTGGTCAGGCCACAGCCTCTTCTCCATTTCTCCATCTGGTCGGGATTTTGAGGGTGCACGTACACCTGCCTGCTGTGTTTCTCAAGTCGCTGGAGCTGGGATTCGAACCACACAGTCAGCCACACTGGATCTGGCTGGCTTTTCTTTTTTTAAAAAATTCTTTCTTTCTTCTTCTTATTCACCAGAGAGCGACAGAGAGAGGAAAAGTAAGAAAGTAAGTCTCCAGGTCCGAGACTCCAGCGCTTCAACCACCACGCCACCTGCTCGCCCGGATCTGCTGCCTTAACCACCAGGCTACAGGGCCAGCCCTGTGAGATAGGTTTTATGACCTACAGTTTACATTTTCTATTTTTTTTTTATTGCAAGAGGGTATGTGCACTTGCTGGAAACAGAGACACAGGACAGGGAAAAGCAACCTCAATGGGAAGTAGTCACGCCATCATCCCTTCTCCATTTTTCCCTCCTGTTGGGATTGTGGACACCCACGCACATGTGCCTGGTATGTTTTTCAAGCTGCCAGGGAGAGGACTCGAACCGTGGTCAGCCACGTGGAATTCGGCTCCCTTAATTACTAGGTTATGGGGCTGGCCCTCCACGTTCTATTGTCTCACCAAGGACCTCACAGAGTTGCTGTAAGCAGTAAGATCACGTATGCAAAATACAAAGTCCCACCCAGCCCCGGCAGGAGTTAACGCATGCTCACTATGACCTTTGCTGATTTCCTGGCGGCTGAGGTCAGGAGCGGTGCACTTCATACCTTCATGCACGGGTCAGTACTGCCTCTTCAGTTATTGTATGGGCTTGCACACCATTACCCCTTCCCTCTTCTCTCAGTGTAAGCATAAACATGGGAACGAGAATATGGTAGCAACGAAATTAACAGAGGCCCTGAAACAGTGTTCCTCCATTCCTGGGAACAGTCCCGTAAGTGGATTGGTACCCGCTTATCGGAGGTGCAAGGTGACACTCCATGAGGCTCCCCCACACGGGAAGGTCCATCCTTGTGCATGCCTCACACGTGTGTGCCTGCGATCGGGGCTGGCAGGGGCTGGGGTGAACCATGCCGAGATCTTGTTGGGACTACTGTCTGTTTCCCTCTCTTTTCTGTCTCTCTCACATAAGTAAAGCAAAAGCAAAAAAATAAAAATAAAAATAAAAAAACCCTAAAATAAAATAAAAAGCCCACTTATGAAAAAGCAGAGTGGGACAGCAGGTGGCATGGAGGTCAACATGGCTGGATCTAACGTGGCTGACTGTGTTGTCTGAGTCCCGGACGGGGTGGCATGCCCAAAATCACGAGGGGAGGATGGAGGGGATTGCAGCATGGCCATCACTCCCGGGGCTGATTTCACTTTCCTTCTCTCTCTCTCTCCAGGGAGCACACATGCCCTATAGCAAAACTGCAGATGCAAAACTATATATATATATATGCCACAAAAATAGACCCTAAACTTGCTCTTTCTTTTCAGTTGATGGCAACTCTTATTCTTCCAGCTGCTCAGACTGAAAAAATCATCACCAACAATCATTTTTTTTGTCTTGAACCCATATCCAACCCATCAGGAAAACATGTTGCCTCTACTTTTTGAAAACTGTATACCTGAGTTTCTTTCTTCTTTTTTTTCAAAGAATTATTTAGTTTAACTTTATTTATCTATTTTAATTTGACCAGGGAAGGACAGAATGAGAGAGAGCAAGAGCGAGAAAGCAAGTCGCCAGGTCCAAGACTCAAACTGTAGTCGGCCATGTGGGAGTCCAGCACCTTTAACCACCACACCACCCGCTGGTCCCGGGATCCAGCCACTTTAACCACCGCGCCACAGGCTGGCCTCACTACCTGTTTTTCTCAAGGTAAAATCTACCACCCTTCTCACGGCCTGCAGTTCTTTCGCTGTGTAGCCCAGACCTCTGTTACCGCACCTTCCACTGATCCCATGACCCCCCAGTCCAGCTGGCTTCCCTGCAATTCCTCACGCACACCCAACTCACTCCTTTCTTAGGAACTTTGGTCTAGTTGCTTCCTTCCTGGATGCTCTTCTGGCAGACATCGGTTGAGTTAACATCACTGCCTCCTTCAAAGTTTAGTTTAAGGGGCTGGCAGGTGGTGTCGTGATTAAGGTACTGGACTCCCACATGGCCAACTGCGGTTCGAATCCTGGACCTGGTGGCTTGCTTTCTCACTTTCCCTCTCTTTCTCTCAAGCACACGTACCCTATAGGAAATTTTAAAACAAAACAAAACAAAACAAAAACAATAATTACAACAAATAATATTGGATAATTCTTTTTTTTTTTAAGAGGTTTTTTGCTATAGGGCGCATGCGGTCGCCAGACAGACAGAGAGAGACAGACAGATAGAAAGTGAGAAATCACCCCCTAGAGG